TGGACGCCCCTCTGGCTCCTGGCAGCAGTGCTGGGGGTCTTCTTGCTGGGGAGCTGCTACGGTGAGTTCCCGGAACGACTTGCGACCCAGAGGGGAGGAAGCAGAAGGGGAGGGGGGAACCATGTCCTTGGCTGGGGTCTCTCCCCCTCTTAAGTTCCTTTCCCTGAAGGAAAAATCTGCCTTTCCCTCCCGACGCTTCCCTAAGCCTCCTTTAGGAACTTTCGGCATTTCCTTTGTAATCAATTCCCATTTTTATTTATCAGAAAATAGCGAAAAAGGCTATTTCAGAAACGAAAATCCAGCCAACCTAGGGATACATTATCCCGGAACTGGTCTAATTTATATAGAAGGGAACCTGTTTTCCCTCTTTCCCCTCCTGGGCTGGGAAAACAGTCACCCTTGAAGGACTGGAGTTGGGGGGGGGGAAGGTGTCTGGGTTTTGCCTGTCTGGAGAGCAACCAGGTCTGGCTCTCCTATTGAGGCTCCAGTCCAGACTAACCATCCCGGGTGCCTGTGACCTTCCCCGTGTGGTTGGCAAGGGAAATCCCGATCAGAGCAAAAAGCCCTCGGTATTTAACAGACAGCTACCCCCTCCCCCACTCCGAGAGAGCGATGCCCCTCTTGCTCCTCTGGGCTGTGCTCGGGGGGCGGGTGGGGGGGCGATGCGGTGAGTTTCTGGAAGGATTTGGGACCTGGTGGGAGGCAGCTAAATGTGTGTGGCGGGGTGAGGGAAGGAGTGTGTGTGCTAAACGCGACTGGGGATTCGCCTAAAGGGGATCGCTGTGTGTTGCGGGGAGTGTCTGACCAGGACCCCGCGAGAGGAAAGAAGCAGCGCACTTTCCCCTCTTCCTTCGCGGACCCCCCCCCCAAAATAACGAGAGAACCTGCAGATGGCGTAGAGAACTTCAGTCCAGGACACTTGGCATCTGGAGTGCGAGGGACGGGGCCTTCTTTCCCTGGATTTTGCCGCTTCCTCGGAGGATGCGACCGGATGTCCTTGGTAATATAATACTACACATTGTAACAGCAGCAAGAATGGTATGCGCCCAACAATGGAAAAGTGCAAATATACAGTTAGAAAGAGAGATAATAAAGAAAGTATTTGATTGTGCAGAAGCAGTTAGATTGACGTTAGAATTGGAGAATAAAGGAGAGACAGAATATCCTGATATATGGAATAGATTTTACCAATGGTTGGAACTGAGAGGTGGGAGATGGAACAGGAAATAAACAGGATTTGTAGACCCGAAATGTGTTGTAATAGGTGTAAATATAAATGAGTATATTGGGCAGAATTATTGTATATCATTTTATGATTAGCTGGGAGGAGCTGTGGAGGTACCTTATCCAGATGTGGGTTTGCCCCATTGGTGGGATGCAAATAATTTAACGACTGGCTCTCTGCCCTAATGACCAGCTGGGTGGGCATGGCCAGTGGGCATCCAGCACTCTGCCAGCCAAAACGGGGCCCGGGGGTTAATTACAAAATGTGGACTTGGCTTTGTGACATGCAGACCCAGTGGGCAAGGAGTGTGAACTGCACAGAAAATACACTTTTGTTTGGTTATGGAGAAATATCCCCAAAGTCAGATGTGCACTAAATGCAGACTGACTTTTAGCTACACGTCTTCCTAGCAAACAGCAAATTTTGAAGCTCCTGGTAAAGAGGATTCATTTCAGGATGAGTAACCACGGTTTGCATGTTGGAGGTTCCTAAAGGAATGCTGGGAAACTCTGTGTTTTAAAGAACATTTGAGGGAGGGGTGCAAAATATCCTTTTTCTTCCTGAGGCTGTAGAGACCCGGCACCAATCAAAACACTGTTTGTGAAGCAATTGATCAACACTGCCAGGGTAATCCAGTAGTATATGAAAATAAGAGCAAACTCCACTCACTTCTAGTACTGATGATGTTACCTAGTTTGGTAATGAAACATCTGCAAGAAAACCATCACGCTCAGAGAGCACCGAGGACCCCACAGTTCAACCCAGAGCTACAAATATTCTCTTCTATCGGCAAATACTTTTTGATTAAAGGGACTATGAGATGGCTCCCAGTGGATTTCATTCTAAATAGTGATATGATTTCTGTAAATAAGGAATGTAGAATTATAATGGCTGAGTATTGGATCTTTCATACATAAAAAAAATTGCAAAGCTAAGGGATAAACAAATAAAAAGCAGATTTGAAAAAAGAAAAGGCCCAGGAAAGGAAAAGAGTGAAAGTGTAAGAAAGAGGAAAAGAAGGAAAACTGAAAAAGAATGACTTCCAACTTTCTTTGGTACAGGTACAAGTTAAATATATATATCAAACTCTTATTCTAAGATTAACATTTGTCTACATTATTTCCATAATTCCTTATTTAATCATCAAAACCCAAGCTCAACTTTTAATTTCAGTCTCTCTCAAAAAGTCCAGTAATGGCTCATATCACTTTAATCACTATTTGTTAATGAAACCACAACTGGAGCCAGAAGACTCCATACTCCCTGCTCTGCTGTGAAGCTCCAAGCAGCTTCCATCCGGCTGGTCCTCCAGGCATTGGGCATAGAGGGTCCAATGGGGTCAGCTCCACAAGCAGCTGGGTCAATCCAGAGGGACCCCTCCCCAGATGTGCCCAGCTGTTTCCAAAGTCAGCCAAGTTGTCAGCTCTGGCAAGCCCACAGGCCCGGAGCTGCCATTCTGGCAGGGGAAGCTGTGGGAGGCGCCAGGAATTGTCTGTCAGCGTCACTCCATTACATAATTAGGAAAGAAAGACTAAGAGACTCCATGGATTGGAAATCAAAAGTACTTTTACTAATTATAAATGGTAANTTTTCCCGTGTGGACGCCGGAGCGAAGAGCTCGGCAGCCATGTTCCTTCGCACATGCGCAATCAAGACTTAGTTGGCTTATCTGTGGTAGGGGAAGGTAGGGTGGAGTGAAGTGGGATTGAAGTGGAGTGGGGAGAGAAGGGAAAGGAAGCTAAATCTTAAAGCTAAGATTATTTTCCATTAGTGCTTAGTTTTCAGAGTAAATATTTTCTCCTGTATCCCTGTTGGATCAAAAATGATAGAAGCACAAATAAAAGAAAATGTTTTTTTGTTTTTCCAGATCTTTTAATTTTTGTGTTTTGTGTTTTATTTTCTGTTTTTATTTTCCAGATATTTCTGAAATGTTTCTATTAGTAACTATTATACTCTAAATTGTTACTTCAGAACTAAAGGGACAGTCTTTTTGGACCTGAGAGCTTTCCTTATATTTCCAAGTTGCCGTTGAAAGGTACAATCCCTCAAAATGACAGGACAGTATTAAGAGATGGCCTCATAAATTAAGTAGTATGATCCCCCCCCACCAAATTTCATTATTCTTTCTCTCCCTCCTTCCCACACATGCACACAAATACACAATTTGAAGAGGAGATGGGAGCAGCATATGTGACCTGGGTCTTTGGACTGTGTTTTTCTGCTTTACAGTGTTTTATTTTAAAATAGTAGTTGATTATTCCATGCTGTTATCAGTCATGATAAAAGAATATTATTCAGTAGTTTGTTATAAAGCATGTTAAGTCAGTAAATCAAGATAAACTAGTAAATCTGCCACAACATAAGATTTGGATATATTGAGACTGGTATAGTCATTTGGCACTCTGCATCACAGCTAGGTCACTTTCAATCCACATATACTGAGTGTAGCTCCTCAGGCCAAGTAGCTAATGCTGATTAGTTAATGCTTAATGCTAATTGAGGCCAAGCATCTAATTCATAGAGAGGACATTAGTGCTTTTGCTCAAAATCAGCATGATGATTCTAAATCCCTGGAGTAAGAAATAGGGAATCATTCCATTTCCAATTATATTTTGTTATTGATTCAACTGCCATTAATTTTAAAAACAATTTTGATATTTGGTTTGGGCAAGAGAGAGGAATAAAGGAGCAGGTCCAACTCAAGGATCCTCCTGGGTTCTTGGTTCCTGCTGGATAAGTGGGTGGAGTCTTACTTAGGGCAGGAGGCTTACCTGCTGCAAGATGCTATACATGCCCCCCCCCCCTAAAAAGAATCCTGAATCCATGCTGGGTGCAAAATGCTCATGGGTACTTGCCACTAAGTTAAGGTGACCAGACATCCCGCTTTTGGCGGGACAGTCACAATATTTCACAATTTGTCCCGTGTCCCACGACATTTTTAAAAAGTCCCGATTTTTTAAAAATACCGTTTCCATTTAGTGGCGGTCTGGATTTTTGCAATCTAATTCTGACTGGTCTAATTGACGCTGGGGAGAAGCACGATTGTGGGTCTAATCATAACTTTGTTGCTGTGCGCACTGGGGAGGCTGGAACAGCTGCTGCCGTTGGCCAGCAGGTCCATCGAAATCTGGAACTCTGGGACTTCCGGTGGGCGGGGCCTGACAGGGAGTTGTTATTTTTAACAGCTCTTGAATCTTGGCATCGTTAAACTGTTTAAACAGCAATCCATCAAGCTGTTTAGCAATTTGTTTATCCTCTCTTCAGGCTTAGAAGAAAGAGGTGAGAAGCTATGCATTGGAAGCCCTCTAACTAACCCTCTCAGCCTAAACTCTGGGAGGAAGGGGGGGCACCGGCAGCATAGCAGCTCCGTGCCAGGAATCATTCTGCCTTTTGTTGCAGAACGAAGGTCTTCGCTCATCTTCAGCACAAATAACAAGCTTGCACTCAATCCAGACAAGACCGAGTGGCTATTGATGTTGCCTCCCAAGGATAGTCCAGATATTCCATCCCTTAGCCTGGGGGGTGANATCACAGATGTTTCATTTTTTCCAAATAATTCCCCCCAAAAGCCCTTCAGCTAACATTTGATACAGGTTCTCATAATTAACATTCCCATCACTTAGATCACCAATCCAAACTAAATTGGTTTCTCTGATCTGACCTATAATCAGGTCTAAATATCTGTATTAAAAGAAAATTGTTGCTACTGTTCAATTTTGTTGAAGGACCAAAAATAAATGTTTATATGTCCTGTTGGTTTTCTTTCTTGACCCAGTTACCTTTGGTCTACTTGATGGTGTCCATTGGTGACCTTTATGGACTTTTGAACTTCTATAGCTTCTCCCGCTGGTTCTTCATAGGACTTACCACATTGGGGTTCATGATACATTGCTATCGACATCCAACAATACTAAGACCTTTTAAGGTAGGATCAATATTGAATTAGAAACCAGAGTTGTGCTTCTAGTTTTCTGGAAGAAAGACATTAACATAGGAACATAGGAAGGCATAAGTAGAAAAATAAAACACTGATTCAGTTAAGACATAATGGAAACAAATGGTTTCTTGTCCAATAAATTATTATTTCTTCTAATTTAGTGTTGTATCTTTATCTATATTCATGATCATCCTCATTCATTCATAATTATTTATCCTTTCGTCTCTTTCTGGATTGAAGCAAAGAAGTAAAGATCCCTAAATCTTGACTGTAGTTTGCTAATGAAATATTTAAAACATAAAATTCCATCATTCTAGTTTACAATTGATTTTTAACTGTGGAATATGTTTAATATTTAATCAGGATTAAATGTAACAATCATAATTACATATTGTGCATTGTCAACAGAAACATCAATTTATGTTCTCATTTGAATTCCCATGTTCTCAAACCAACAGTACACCAAGGATTCATAAAACCACACAAAAAAGAAAATCCTGCATAGCACATGAATAATTTATTGGCTGTTTGATTGGCAGGATTATATAAATATATTTTGATTGTTCTTCCTCATGTTGTAAACTTTATAGTTGCTTGCATGTTCAAAGATGGCCTGTCGATTACCTTCTGACTCGTTCTTTTAGGTGCCTCTGTTCTTCCCACTGGTATTCACAGTAGCCTGTTTCTTCATTGTGGGGACATCACTATATTCAGATCCTGTGAACACCAGTATTGGATGTGCTTTAACTTTATCTGGCTTACCTGTCTACTATCTAGTGGTTCAGAAAACTAGAATACCAGGCTGTTGTACATCAAAGTTCAGTAAGTATAGCCAGGAATACTACTATATTGGGGGGATACCAGGTCATATCCTCACTACTCTGACTACTTACTTACTTACTTACTTACTTACTTACTTACTTACTTACTTACTTACTTACTTACTTACTTTGTCAAACATGTACAAGATAGCAGG